TGCAACACAGACAGGCAGGCAGACAGACAGACAGGCAGGCAGGACAGACAGACAGACAGACAGACAGACAGGCAGGCAGACAGACAGAGACACAGACAGGACAGGTGCGTACAGACAGGCAGGCAGACAGACAGACAGAGACAGACAGACAGACAGGACAGACAGACAGGCAGTACAGGACAGACAGGTGCAACACAGACAGGCAGACAGACAGACAGACAGACAGACAGACAGACAGACAGACAGGCAGACAGACAGACAGGTGCAACACAGACAGACAGACACAGATGCCAAGTTCATTAGGTAGCCAGTGGGAGTAAGCGACGGAGCGTAAGATCATTCAGGCAGCAGTAGCCGTCCTCCACGCACTCTACTCGCACACGCACTCTACTCTGCACATGCACTCTACCTGCACACGCACTCTACCTGACATGCACCCCACTCACACACACACCCCACTCGCACACGCACTCTAGCCCACACACGCACTCTACTTACCCACCACTCTACCCACACGCCCTGTAATACATACGAACTCTACACATGTACGCACTCCCCACTACACACACAAAAACTCCACACACTCTCCTCCTCCTCCTCCTCCTCCCCACCCTCCTCCTCCTCACCACCACATTTTCCCACCGACACAAAAAATCCTGGGCAAATGTGGGTAAAAGAATGAGGCATATACACACACACACACACACACACACACACACACACACGCCGCTGGTGATGTCCGTCTGAGCCAACACCAAGACCCAACAGGGAAAACACACCCTAACAAAGAGCTATACCACATGAGTCATTAAGGTCGGGATTCTCTGTAATGATGAGTTGGTGGATAGATCTTATGGTTTTGATGTTGCTTATGGCGTTGTCGTTCTGTAATTAGGGGTATAATCAAGTAGGCAAGGAGCAAGTTGGAGGACGGTTACTCTCTCTCTCTCTCTCTCTCTCTCTCTCTCTCTTTCCTAGTTATTATGGAGGTTCAGGAAGGAGAGAAGGAGGGGGAGGAGGAGGGAAGAGAGGGGAGGATAAGGAGAGAGGGGAGGTAGAGTCTTCTTTTTACCTGTGATGCATAAAAGGATTACAGGTGAGTTAATGATCTTCAGGTGTGTGGAGTGTGTTTGTCTCTCTCTCTCTCTGTCTCTCTCTGTCTCTCTCTCTCTCTCTCTCTCTTCTTTCTCACACACACACACACACCTATCCACCTACCTACCCCAGCCGGTGCCAGGTGAAGTGCATGTGGGTGTAGGTGTGGGTGTTTTAAGTGGTTAAATGGGTGGGGTGTGGGGTGGGTGTGGGGGGAGTGTTAGGGTGTATATGTGCATGGATGGTTTTAGCAACACCCCCTTCTCCTCCCCCTCTCTTCCACTGACTCCTCTCTCTCCCTCTCTGTTCCACCTCAACACCTGACCCTCTGTTCCATCTCACCCTCTCTCATCCACCACTAACTTACCTCCTCTCCCACCTTTACCCCCCACCTTCCACATCTCCTCCCTCCCCTCCTATCTCCATTACAACCTCCTCCTCATTTCACCCCCTCCTCACTCCCTCCTCCCCTCCCACCTTCACCCCCTCTCCTCCCCCTCCCCACCTTCACCCCCTCCCCCTCCCCACCTTCACCCCCTCCCTTCCTCCCTACCCCTCCACTAATTCATTATGAAGCTCCAAGATGGCGGACAGTTCACGCTCGGGGAAGCCTTGGCTAATATTTACTCTGTGCATCTTGAAATCTTGCCAAACATTGAGTTGTTTTCAGCAAACACAGGAAAAACAAGTCGAGTGACTCAATCAGTACATATCGTAAGGGTTAAGACAAATGTGAAAACCCTAAGGTGTACATGTGGGCCCCAGAATACGTACATGTGTGTGTAGGTGTAGAGGGGTAGTGTGGGGGTGGTTGTGTGTACATTTCTGTAAGTTAGAAATGTGTGTATGCGTCGATCTAGAGTAGAGGGGGATTAGTGTAGATCTGTGTGTGTGTGCGTGTGTGCGTGTGTGTGAGTGTGTGTGTGTGTGTGCATAGTAAAGGATATACGCACATATGTGGTAGGAGGATGGGTGTGTACACGATATTGTAGACCTGTGTGTGTGTGTGTGTGTGTGTGTGTGTGTGTGTGTGTGTGTGTGTGTGTGTGTGCACGTCAGGATACGTGAACGTAGCTCCGAAGGGGGAGGGAGGGAGGAGGTGTACAAAGTGACCTTTTGTGTTTCTGCACCAAAATGTTTTTTTTTTCGTAGTGATAACGTGTGAAGGGGACGTGAGGGGGGGTAGGGGTGAGGGGGGGGGTGAGGGGGGTAGGGGAGAGGTGAGGGAGAGAGAGGAGGGGAGGAAGTGATGGGGTGTGATGATGGGGGTGTGCAGATGGGGGAGGGGTGATGGGGGAGGATGATGGGGTGGAGGGAGAGAGAGGAGGGGTGATGAGAGGCTGGTTGGGAGGGGAGGGTGGAGTTGTATGGAGTTTGGGAGATAATCTGTGTATGTATGTGTGTGTGTGTGTGTGTGTGTGTGTGTGTGAGTGTGTGTGTGTGTGTGTGTGTGTGAGTGTGTGTGTGTGTGTGTATGTACAACTTTATATGTGTGTGCGTATGTATATGTGTTCATGTACACACTTATGTAAGTATAAAAAATGTGTATATAACAGGTGTGTGTGTGTGTGTGTGTGTGTGTGTTCCCCGTCTTCTTAAAGAGACAGTGAGAGACAGAAGGCGAGAGAGAAAACTATTTGGTTAATAAAAGAATAAAAGGAATAACCAAGAAATACTGATTATTATTATTATTATTATTATTATTATTATTATTATCATTATTAAACATAGGGGTGAAAAAAAGAAATATTAATTAATAACATCAACAATAACAATAATAATAACAACAACACCACGTGACACCATTGTAGGTGACGTCATGACAGACATACATTGAGACACCCTGTGTTTTGTCAAGCCTGTCATACCCTGCCAGCCCATGACACCCTGGTGATTTATGTTAGTTTTCTTTATTTCAATTGTCATACATTTATTACCGTCTTTATTGTCTCTTTTGTTCTTTCTCTCTTCTGAGTTTCTTGGCTCTTTTCTTATCCCTGTTTGTTTGTTTGTTTGTTTGTTGTCGTTTAAGTTTCAGTGGATTTGTTTTTTCTGTCTCTGTCTGTCTGTCTCATTGTCTACCTTACCTAGAGACGTTCTCACACTCTCAGTTAAGGAGAGAGAGACGGAGAGATATTAAACGTCTTTATCTCTGAGAATTTGGAGACAGAGAGATACGCTAAGTTTATTTAACTCTCATTTAAGTAGAGTCTTGGGGAGTTTGGACGCCATGTTGGATATGAGAGAGATGTGTTATGTGTTTGTTTCTTTATTTACGAGGAATAATAATAGTACGAGGAGATGAGAATGTTGAGGGAAGTGCGGAGGGACCTTTCGGTATTTCTCCTCTCTCCTCCTTCCTCTTCCTCTTCCCACTACGTCTTTGGCTCCTTCTCCTCCTCCGTCCCCCGCCTTTTCCTCTGAGCAAGTGATGACCAAGTTAGATTTCATGTCGGAAGCGACCTCCGGGGGAAATGGGAGCCATCTTCCCCGCTTGACGGCCGCCCCTCCCCGCCTCCGTCCGCCTGCAGCCACGGCCTCGACTACCCCTCCCCTCACCTTTACACACCACATATCACACTCTGTATCATATATCCATCTATAGCTCTAACTATATAGTATTTCTAACGACCATAAGAGTGAAATAAGAACAGAGTAAGTGATGTGGACGCGGAAGAAGGGAGGCCAAAGACGGGGACATGATCGGGACGAGTCGATCGTTCGATGCTGAGAGCCCATGGTAGGAGGGGGAGTGGGTAGTCCCTTTCAAGAATTAGAGAAGGTTCGTTTTGGAATCCTCAGAGCTAAATGCCTCCTTCTCAAAATCCTTATACCTTTGGCTGTGAGCCTGGACAGCGTCTCTCCACGACCTGACCCTCACACCGCGACCTCTTTGAGGAAATGACGCTTTTATGAGACAGGTCACCCCGGGCTCTGGAAAGGCGACCGCTTGCCAGTAAAGGACTTCAGGGAGGCAGGTCCTACTGACGTGAAGGAAGGTGGTGTAGGACCTGTGTGTGTAGCCTTGGAGGACGCTTACCAGTAAAGGACTTCAGGGGGGCAGGTCCTGCTGACGTGAAGGAACGTGGTGTAGGTTAGGTTAGGTGTCGCCAGCCAGTATTTTCCTCACACCAACACCTTAAGTCTTGGTGGACAATTTAATCCAGGTGACCCACACGTGATGTGATATATTGCCTGACAGGTAGACCATGCAACCCTCCTCCTCCTACTCCTCCTCCTCCTCCTCCTCCTTCTCCTTAAAATAATATAATATTTATTGAAAGTATAATCGATTCCTTAAGAAATATATAATTTATAATATATACTGTACTTAACATAAGCCATAATGTTAGGTTATGTTAGGTTAAGTTAGGTTAGGTTAGGTTAGGGTTAGGGTTAGATGCTATTGCGTGTGTGTACTGTTTAAATAGAGACAAGACTTACGGTCAAACTACCTGGTTCAGCGTCTTTTTAACAACCTTGTTATCTCTTAAGGCCACATGGCATGTATGTTTATTTATAGATCAGGTCTCTCTCTCTCTCTCTCTCTCTCTCTCCCCTTCATGATCTGGGCGAAGATCATTGACGTAATGTGCAACATTCTCTAATGACCTGTGCAGCAATCTCTGACGTACTGTGCAGCTGTCTCTCTTAAACTGTGCAGTATTCAGGTTCTGTGCAGCAGAAACAGAATAAACTGACTTACAAAATGCTGTATAACGGTTTAAGACCAGATGTAGTTGTGTTTTAGGGTCAATGTATACACCGTATAATACACAGTTTGGTTTATAATTTGTACTGTAATATACAGCATACAACGATCATTTGTAGTTAGCATCATAATATACAATTATTGTATATACAGTTTTGTTTTTAATTTGTACCAAAATACATGAACTGCGTCCTAAACTCTGCATCAAAATATATAAACTGTGTATGTCAATGTCTTAAACTTTGCATCAAAATATACAAACTGTGTGAACACGGCTATCTTACAGTTTGTACCATGATATACAGTGTAAAAAGTCACATATTTTTTCTTTTAAAGTCTATACCAAAATATACAAACTGTGTCATGATTCTCACAAAACAAAACCTATCTTAAGATCAAAGATTAAAAACACCTAATTAAAACTAAGACAAGGATTCACTAACACATCTCTCGAGGCACATTTATAAAGTCACTGAACATAATATTTTGATCACTGTTGCACTTAAACTTTAACAAAATGTCTCACAAAAATGTATACAAACTGCCTTACAGGCTGTCATGGCGATCGTGTGAATACTTACATTACACCAGCAACATTGTCCTTACTTGTTGATGTACAAAGTTCCCATAAATAAGGTAGAATTTTACTTTTATAATACAAGAATTGACTTCAACTCCATGAGAAAAATATCTGTAAGAGAGTAGGTATATATTTTCCAACGTCTGGGTATTTATTTGTTCTGCACAGTTGAGAAACCTTGCGGAGTTTGGAAGGTGTGACCAAGGTAGTGTTGTTCTGAGCGCCATCTGCCTGCCACACTTGGTAGATCACCCTCACTCCATCTTCTCCCTGCCACCGCCGCCACCCCACCCCGCCATCCAACCAGAACGCCTTCACCACCACCACCACCACCAGTGTTTTTCATTAAATTCACCACCACCCAAAACCTGGAACCTTGGACGAGTGTTCACCTGTCTCTCTCTCTCTCTCTCCTCCTACCATAACTCTACCATTATATGGGTTTGTTAATGGTATTGCAGGATCGTCTACCATAATACGGTGGTCATGGTGGTCTACGGTGTTACCATTGTTGCTACCATACCCCTGGGGTCAAGTGTTGTTATTGTTTACTACCATTATAACCATAGTCTGATTGGTCCTCTACCACACCTTACCCCTACTAACTCTCCTACTCCCACTACCACATCCACCACCCTCTAGGTTTGGGCCTGGTAAGGAAACCCCGTCGCTGTGTACTGTGTGGGCGTCAGGTTGGAGTCTGAGGTCTCCCCCATGGGCGTAGGGGCGGCGTAGTGTAGCGTAGCGGGTGTAGCACTGGGCGTGAGGGGGTGAGTGTTGAACTGTGTTGACTGGAACCCTGAACTGGTGTAGGCAGAGGGAGACATCATGCTGCCTACACTCCCCGCGTAGGAGTGAGTAGGTATGATGGGCGTGGAACTGGTGGTAAGGCCTCTCATATGGGCGGTGGCTTGCTGGTAATAGCCGCCCACGTCGAGGAAAGGCGGGGTGTAGGGTGTAGGCGGGGTGTTGAACTGATGGGCGTGGTGGTGGGCGGAGGGTACAGGTTTACCATCACGAACAAGGACTGGCACAGGTACACGTCGTGGGGAGGTGAGGGGCGTGGTCATGTCCATACCTCCGCCACGGTCCGTCCGTTGTTTCTTGGTCTTGTAGCGATGATTCTGGAACCATATCTTCACCTGCAATGTTTAACTGTTGTCAGCCGAGTACCTTGATGGTTAGGTTATGAGAAGTAGTTAGTGGCACTACTTGTGCCTCTGTGAGTGTGTGAAGGGTCTGTATATACTGTATATATGTGGTTAGGTTGACCTAGGTGCATCACCACCTTACCTGCGTGGGCGTGAGGTTAATTAGCGAGGCCAGGTGTTCCCTCTCAGGTGCTGATAGGTAACGCTGCTGGCGGAAACGTCGCTCAAGTTCATACGTCTGAGCCTTAGTGAAGAGGATCCGTCTCTTCCTCTTCTTCCCTCCCGTCTCTCCTCCCTCTTCCTCCCCTCCTCCTCCTCGCTCCTCTTCGTCCGTGCTCTCTGTTGGGGTCAAGGTCAATTAAGATCACTAAAGGGGTCATACAGGTTTTATTTGGTCTCTCTCTTTATATAAGGTCACGGATGCCATAAATAATGTCAGGTAAGGTCATGTTAGGTCATGTAAGGTTGTATGGGGTCAGTTGAGAGTCACAGAAAGTTACAGGGACCAAGGAGGTGTCATAGAGGGTCACGTTAGGTCACGGAATGTATGTGTTGTTGCTGTATCATGTCTGTCTGTTTGTGTCTGTCTGAGTGCCTCATTTCTACTGTCTTGGAAAGCGTTTATGAGTCCTATATTCACAGACCTCTCTCTCTCTCTCTCTCTCTCTCTCTCACCATCAAGACGAGGCTGAGTTGAATCCGGCTGGGAGACAGGTTCTTCTACTGTCTCCAACACGGCTGGCGGCTGCTGTTGATGATGCTGTTGGTGGTGTTGATGTTGGTGATGTTGGTGGTGATGGTGGTGGTGGTGTTGAGGGCTGGGAGACATATGGTGACCAACACTGTCCACCACCAGCGGCTGTGTGGTGGTGGAGGTGTTGTCAGTCCCAGCACCTAGCAGTCCCCGTGGCTCCCCTACTGTGTTATAAAGTTAGGTTAGGTTAGGTTAGGTTAGGTTAGGTTAGGTTAGGTTAGGTTAACACACATACAGAGAGGTAACTACGGAAGATAGTAGTGACTTACCGGACGCAGGTGAGTGAGCCAATAGCGGCACCTGTCCTTGTTGTTGTTGGGGATTGTTGTGGTAGGGGGTGGTGGCCGGGGTGGTGGGGTGGTCACTGCTTCTGGAGGGGTGGAGGGGTGTGAGTGGTCCACTAGGGGTGCTGGTATCCTGGTGGGGGGAACACACGCCCGTGGAGAACCCCCCACCGCCGCCCACATTTACGCCCCCGCCCACACTGAAGGCTGCAGGTGACTCTGGATATGGTTTGAAGGACGTGAGGATTAATTACTTTTTGAAGTGTGGCCCAGTGACCATCACCACCACCACCACCACCACTACCACCACCACCACCACCGCCACCACCACCACCTCCACCACCACCACCACCACCACCACTATCACCACCACCACCACCACCACCACCACCACCACCACCACCACCACTACCACACCACCTCCACCACCATCACCACCACCACCACCACCACCACCACCACCACCTACCACCACTACTACCACCACTACCCACCACTACCACCACTACCACCACCACCACCACGACTACCGTCACTACTACCACCACCACCACCACGACTTGGTATAGTGGATAGCTAGTGGCAAGGTTGGTGATGTGTATGGTAAGTGGGTGATAGGTCCCTCCCTCCTTCCTTCCTTCCTTCCTTCCGCTCTCCTTCTTTCCTTCCTCCCTCTCCCCCTTCCTCTCACCCCTGTTTCTCCCCTCCTCATAACCTTCCCTAATGACTCACCCCCCCTCTCACTCTCTCACTATATACTTATATAAACACACACACACACACACACACACTTCATAACCTCTACCCCGAAAAAAAATTATCTGTGCCAATTATTCCACGTTAACTACCGAACCATGGGAGTGCCAGAGAGAGTGCCAGAGCCGCAAACAATTACCCCAACCTAACTACCTGACCACCTCGTGTTTATGGACTAACTGGGAGAAAATTACTGGTTAAGCGAGTCTCGACATGCGATTGGTTAGGGTGGCTGGTGACGCCATCTTTGGGCCAGTATCTTGAAGATGATTGGTCGATCGAAGGGAGGAAAGGTATGGATGCTATGATATGATTGGTAGATCGAAGGGAAAGGTATGGGTGCTATGATATGATTGGTCTATTAAAGGGGAAGGTATGGGTGCTATGATATGATTGGTCGACTCGGGGACAAAGATAGATACAGTAAAGGGAGGGAATGAAGGTTATTGAAGACAGTGAATGAAGGTACGTAATGAAGACATTAGCCGATACCTCATTGGTCCATAACGAATGCATCTTGGCTCTGATTGGTTGAAGTGTGAGTGTGTGCTTTAAGTGAGATCAAACGGCTATGTCATTGTTAAGTACGTTTTAAGTAAGGTCAATAAATCAGCCTTAATCCATAACATATCCTGTAAGTACATTTAAGTAACGCCAACTTTTTAAGCAGTAAGTAGAAAACTTAAATGGAGGCCGAGAAGACATAATAAGTGAGCGTTAAGTAACATCAAGAAGCCAACTTTAATAAGCAATAAGTAAGGAATTTAGTAGCTCAGTAAAGCGAGTCGGAGGCCTGCAGGAGGTCGAGGGAGGGCGGAGCCAACATTGATCAAAGCGCTTGGCTTACACGCTAAGTCTCCTCGCTTAATAAATGAACAGAGGCGTTATAAAGCCATTAGCTTCCCCCCTACCAGAGTAACTGGGTGTAAGTGCCCTAATTTAAACCCTCACTGAATATATGAGGCGCGAGATGGCGGGGGTGCGACCCTTTAACCTTCTCCCCGCCGCGATTTTGTTTTGTTTCGGACGGTAAGTCTCGGATTGTTGTTGTGGAGGAGGCGGGGTGATGCTCACTTGTTTCTTAATCCCCTTAACCCTACGTGCCACAGAGATTCACGCTAATGTCACCATCAATCATGTCGTCTGTATCTTATGATTTCTGGTATCTATACAGGTTTGGACTCTCGGTAGTAAACAAACACAAGTGAGATGTAAGCAAGGGGGAGTCAGCCCGCGAACGCAAAAAAACGGATTCAATTAGGCGACATCCGCACCGCGATGCGTTGCGGGATCCACGAACGGTTTAACCCAGAATCAAATTGTTTTAACGGGCTGCGATAGGGTCGCTCATATCTCGGGGGCCATATTTTTTCCCAGTGGTTATTACTGCGGGTGTCGCTGGGAGATGGTGCTAGATATTGCCGCTACACCCGACTCCCACCCCTGCATGAGGTTAGTGAAGCACAATTTGCTAGATAGTAGATCATTATACAGCGGAGTTTGTTAGATTCTGCACATATTTTGACTACGTATTGAGAAAAGGGTGGGAGGTCACTAATTAGAGTGTGTTCGTTGAGGCTGCAATGTGCCAAAGAGCATTACAGGGAAAATATATCTCAGCATCGATTAAGTGGTCTAAGAATGCTACAGGGTGTGTTTTGGGGTAGAGTGCGTGATAAGTAAAGAACACTTTAAGGTACAGTAGCCAACAGTTAAGAGTGCGTTGTAGGGTTGATTGACCAAATAGAGATGTACTAAGTGAAGGGTAGAGTGCGTTGATAAACACTCACTCTCCGGAGGTAGAAGGGGGCAGGGTTCGTTGATAAAGACCAGACTACAGTATAGGTTTGGTGGGGGAGGAGGGAGGGTAATAGGAGCTTGGGGAGGAGGGAGAGGAGGGAAGGAGATTTAAAGGGCCGGGGGAGGGGAGGGAGATAGAGGAGGGTGAGGGGAGATTTAGAGGCCTAGGGGGGAGAGGGAGAGGGAGGGAGAGTAAAGCTGACAACACAATCTGTCCTGCTCACTGACAATAACACCGGCTTAAGGGAGAGGGGGGGAGGTGAGGGGGGGAGGGAGAGTGCAGGAGAGGAAGGACCACCTCTCACTTCTCACTTCCACTCTCCCTACCTTCTCTCACCTCTCCTCTCAGCCTCTATCAACTCTCACTGTCGTCTCATAACTCTTCCCCAGCTTCTCTCACCTCTACCTCCTCTCCCTCACCTCTCCTCAGCCTCCCTCACCTCTCCTCAGCCTCCCTCACCTCTCCTCAGCCTCCCTCACCTCTCCTCAGCCTCCCTCACCTCTCCTCTTAGCCTCTCTCACGTCTCCTCCAGCCTCTCTCACCTCTCCTCAGCCTCCCTCCCCTCCTCAGCCTCCCTCCCCTCTCCTCAGCCTCCCCTCCACCTCTCCCCTCAGCCTCCCTCCCACCTCTCTCCTCCAGCCTCCCTCACCTCTCCTCAGCCTCCCTCACCTCTCCTCAGCCTCCCTCACCTCTCCTCTCAGCCTCTCTCACGTCTCCAACACCTCACTGTTCCCCCCTCTCTCTCTCTACTCTCACTATCCTCGCTCTCTCTCTCTCTCTCTCTACTCTCACTATCCTCGCTCTCTCTCTCTCTCTCTCCCTCTTTTCCTTTAATAAACCTTGAGGTATTAAGGTACATATTCACTTTAGGAGAGTCATTTAAGGTTTTAAGTCATTTAGCTAATAGGTTATATCTCAGGCATCTGACGTCTCCCTTAAAGGATATATATTATTTTTTTTTAGGTAGTTGCTTCCTTTAAGATGCGTAGTGAAGCCTTGGAATTATTTTAGGTATGGAATGGTATTATTTAGATAATTTAAGCATTTAAGGTAATTTAAGGGGAAAAATGTGAAATATTTAGTTAAATCTTTAGAGGCAATCATGAAATATCTAATGTGTTCCCTTTAGGAGCTGCAATTATACCTTAAAGTCATTTTAGGTAAGAAATGAAGGTATCTCAGTCCTTAGAGTATAGAATTGTGGTATTTTAAGGTATTTTAAAGGATAAAGGTGAAATAATTAAGGTACCTTGTGTGGTGGTGTGCCAGAGGCTGCTTGGATACCTGCCCTCATTACCATAGTCTGTAAAGATTAAAGTGAGTTAGTGTTTTGTTAATGATGATAATAATAATAATAATAATAATAATAATAATAATAATAATAATACCATGCGTGTGTGTGTGTGTGTGTGTGTGTGTGTGTGCGTGTGTGCGTGTGTGTGTGTGTGTGTGTGTGTGTGTGTGTCTCAGAGAACCATAAACAGCTTAGGGTTCAATCTTATCGATAATTCTCACTTAAGCTTCAGAAAACGCTGTATAATCTCTCTCAGCTTAAGTGACGTGTGCCGATGATGAAACCCACGCTTATGAGGGCATTGGCGCGTGCCGATTGGTCCTTGGTGTGCGTAGTGTGAGGTGATTGGTTCCTGGTGAGCGTATAGTGTTAGATGATTGGTTCCTGGTGAGTGTAGTGTTAAATGATTGGTCCTTGGTGACTATTCTGCGAGGTGATTGGTCCCTGATGAGTATCCTGTGATATGATTGGTCCCTGGTGAGTATCCTGTAATATGATTGGTCCCTGGCAAGGTTCATGAGATATGATTGGTTGCTTTCCTTCTAAAAATTAAGAAATAAGGAAGATTTTCAACACCTGAGTCATATTACACAAGTCTTCCCTCCCAATTTACCTGACCAGGTGGACTAAATTAAACTCAGGTAAAAAAAAAACCAATTCTGTCATCCCCACACGCTCTTACACACACACACACACACACACACACACACACACACACACACACACACACACACACACACACACACACACACACACACACACACACACACACACACACACACACACAAGAGAAAGAGCATGACGACCCCAGGTTATTACATTAACTGCTGCCTGTGTCTTGTTTTAATGGAATATTGTGGTCTCTCTCTCTCTCTCTCTCTCTCTCTCTCTCTCTCTCTCTCTCTCTCTCTCTCTCTCTCCTCTCTCTCTCTCTCTCTCTCTCTCTCTCTCTCTCTCTCTCTCTCTCTCTCTCTCTCTCTCTCTCTCTCTCTCTCTCTCTCTCTCTCTCTCTCTCTCTCTCTCTCTCTCTCTCTCTCTCTCTCTCTCTCACCATTCCACACCCCTTTTCCCAT